ACTAAAATGTATGGTCACCTACCTTTGACATGACATGCTCCTCCTCCACTTTGACAGATCAGAGAGGAAAGATAGCTATCATGGCATGGAGAAGGCCAAAATGTTCAAAAGCAGCGTGTCGCCAATTCAAAACATGGGAACATCTGCAATTCCCCTTTTACTTTCCTGTGATTTCAAGCAACCCTCTCTCTGGCCATAAATTTTGCAAGCCCTAACCACATGGTTTTTCAAATCTTCAGATTCCAAAAGTTCAAATTTATTTTCCAGAGGGAAAAGGCCAATCTCCAAAAATTTCCTTGCTAGATGTGACCTGATCCAGTGCTGCCGCTAAAGCCACGGTGAAAAGTTCTTTTTTATTAAAATTGTGAATTATGTGTATTTTAATTAATTTTTAAATATTTTAAAATTAATAATTATATAAATTTTTAATAACTCTAAATTTGACATTTAAATTAATATTTTTTTTTAAAAATAAACTAGAATCTGATTAATTAAACTTTATTATTTAAGATTGACCCAGAAAAAAATTATTTGTTGTCAATTAAGTAGAGTGCTGCCGCTAAAGCCACGGTGAAAAGTTTTTTTTATTAAAATTGTGAATATCCTAGATAATTTAGATGTATTTTAATTAATTTTTTAAAATTTTAAAATTAATAATTATACAAATTTTTAATAACTCTAAACACTCAAATTAATATTTTTTTTAAAATAACTTAAAATCTAATGGATTAAACTATACTACTTACAATTGACTGAGAAAACGATTAATTGTTGTCAATTAAGTGGATCAACGTGTTTTGCATTGCAACAAAAACACTATTTATCAAAAAAAAATTTAAAAATATTTTTAGATTATTTTGATATATTAATATTAAAAATAAATTTTAAAAAATATAAAATATATTATAAATACAAAATACTTTAAAACCATTAGCGTGATGTCAAATTCTTTAATTTTAAAAATGTTGCATGTTATTTTGAGTGGTCCCGGGGACACCGAGGCTAGATTGTGGGGTTGCTAAAACAGGCCTCCGTGACTTTCCGTGTGCTTATCATTGACAGATCAGGGCAAGGAGAAAGGGTTCAGTCCCTTGCAGTACAACCGTTGGACCACCGTTGCATTATCGTGAACTTCGAAGAGAAGGAGATATACAGTGAACTCTGGTTAATTTTTTTTTTTTAATCATCCATAAGTTTCTGTAAATCAAAACTAATTTTCTCTTTGATCTATAGATAATTTATTCGATGCGTGATGGGAATATAATTACATCAAGAAAACATAATAAACATTGATAATTTTCATTTTAAGTTATTGAACTCGGTGATGTAGGGATATAAACCGAATTTTATTTTGAACTATTTTGTTATATTAATGTAATATGAAGAATTAATATGTAATTTGCTTGAATTTATATTATATTTGAATTGAATTGATTAATTTTTATAAAATTTTATTTTATTTTATTTTATTGTGAGAACTTTGTTTTCATATTTTATTTAATAATAATTTATTTTAAAATTAATATGAATTGATTAGACAATCGATAAACTACTATTTAAAAATATATGATAGATATTATTTTTAAGGTAATTTTTGTTTAAAAATATATTAAAATAATATAATTTTTTATTTTTTTAAATTTATTTTTAATATAGGTATATCAAAACTATTTAAAATAAAAAATAAATTTAAAACTAAAAAAATAAATTTTATTTTAAAAAAACACAATTACACAACAATACAAAACAAGACATTAGACTGGAAGCCCTGGGCTTGCTACCATGATATCAAACGTGTTTATGGTGGGCTTTAGACACCTTTGTAGATAATTGAGTAAGGGTGCCCGATATCTAATTTCACTTGCTCATCTTCCATGTTAGCTGCTAAGTACTGTCTTTCCACTCCCACCAGTTAATTAGATTGTAACAGATGTAACCTCTTTTCTAAATTTTTAATGTTTATTTTATTTGAAAACATATTAAAAAATTATTTTTAATATTAATACATCAAAAAATTTTAAAATTATTTTAAAAAAAATTAAACCGCCCTACCAACAAGTTTACACCAACAGAGCAGACAATGAAAAAAATATAAACACATAGCATGGAAGCCTCCCACTAGCCCATGAAGGTCTTTCTGCGTTGCAGAGGGATTAACGAAAAAGATATTTATTTGTAGACAAAATATTTAATTTTCCTAGGTGTTGCCTAAAAATGTAAAGCCTTGAAATGAAAATTGGTGTGAAGGGTATAGTCATATCGTGGTGAAAAGCATGTAATGTGCTTTTGTTTTGCATTTTCATAGGAAGTTGCTTCTTGAAAACAAAATATGCTGATATTCAATCATAATAAGTACCTGGTTACATGAGGGGTTATTATTTAACCTGGCTTGATAGATTTATTTAAAATTTAATTTAAGTTGAAATTTCATAATTGATGGAGAGAATTAAACTATAATGATCCGATAAAAAAACTCGTGTTAAATAATATTTTATAATTCTTTTATTGTCGAGTGTGTTTGGTATTGTGATATCTTTTAAGATTATATATTGAAAATAATTGTTTTATTGAGATTGAGTTGTTAAAATATATATTTGGTTAAAATTGAGGTTGAACAAAAAATTATTTAATATGTTTGGTTAAGAATAATTTTAAAATTGAGGTTATAAAATAATTAAAAATAATATATATTAATATTGATGGTTTTTAATCTCAATATTATAGATTGAACTATTACTATTACATCATGAAATAAACAATATTTTATATAAAATATTTTTTATTGTTTCATTAAACTATATGTAATTCTATCACGTATAAAATCTATCCGACAAGGACTACAACTTTAATGGCTTCCTAAATGTACATCAATATCAGGTAAAATATCATCGAAACAAAATTAGAATTGCGATCAAATTCTGCAAATGCCACGTCATCATGCGATCTCCTTCTAATGTAATTATATAATGTTATTGATTAATGTTAAACATCAGTTTTTTTAAATAAAACACAATATGTGAGAAATTTTTTATTTTATTAGGTTAAACCAGTCCTACTCATTTAGGTTTAGGTCAAACCAGTATTACTATGAACAATGAAGACACTCTCCATTATTTACTTTTCAAAACAGTGGAGAGCAGCCCAAACAAAGGAGAAGGAGAAAGAAAAGGAGAAGAGCAGCGCAACGATGATGGATTGAGGGATAGGGGGAACGATGGAGGCCGCTCACTCTTTACTGTTCATATGAAACGTCAACATAATTCACTTTTTACTATTTACTTTGCAGAATAGTGGAGAGCAGCCCAAATGAAGGAGGAGAAGGGGAAGGGGAAGAGCAATGAGGTAGTGGGAAAGACAGAGGCCGGTAGTGAAAAGGAGTTGCTCTTTATTAATGGACGACGATCTTTTTTTTTTTTCCTCTATTTTTGCTCTTCTCCTTCTTGCCTCCTGTTTATAAAAATAAACAAAGTAGAAAAATAATAGGGAAGAAAAGCATATAAAAATAGCTTTTACAAAACTTAGTTTTGAATGTATTTAATGGTGGGGTCCATTCATGAAAATTGCGTTATGTTTTGTAACTAAACGAGATGAAATCATGGTTAAATAAAAATGCTGCTGCAAACGCTGAGCCAAAACCAAAATTTTATAATAAATAAAGAGAATTAAACTAGCATAACTCGAAAAAAAAACTCATGTTAAATAATATTTTGTAACCCCCTCATTCTAATCTATTACTTGTAAGCGAGGTCTTAGATCTTATGCTCACACAATATGATACTATGCAATTTTTTTTTTGAGAGTATTTGGAAATGCGGGCCAACTCATATTTCTAAAAAATTTAATTTTTGGTTAAAAATTAATTTTTTTTAATATTTTAGATTGTTTGTTCATCTCAAAAGTAATTTTTTAAAAAATAAAAAAATTATTTTAATATAAAAAATATTTTAAAAAATAACTATAAATACAGCAAGAATAACTTACACTACATTGGAGGGCCTAAGTGATTCAAAGAGACTTCAGCGATAAAGATTTGATACGTCAGGATTTTTAATTTTTTTTTTTGTGGTCTAATCAATCAATGGAATCTCCAGGCTTATTTGGCCCAGACTAATTCATTTTCAGGCCAAGACCATAACCTTGTATTTATATAACAAGAATCTTTTAAATATATAACTTTGTTGTGATTTAACATAAAAGTTAATTTATTAAATCAAATTAAAGTTATTAAAGAAACTAAATCTATCAAATAAAGATTAGTGAAACATATCTTTAACAAGAAATACGAAGAATAGTAACCACAGCTTCCAGTGGATCATATGCATTTCCCTATTCACTTCCTTGCTATTCTTAGAATGACATATTGGGAAAAGAATATGGCTCATCTTAACTGTATGCAATGCCAATGGTACACAGAACTTGTTGCTATGTGATTATATTAGCTCACTGTTTTATGGTTACCTGCTCACTGGTACATTTTGGAGAAGCACGACGCTCTCAAACACTGCCTGCATATGGAGAAGAAGGCTTGAGGAGTTTTGAAGAAGGGATAGCAAATGGAAAAGGTGAAGTAACCACTCTAATCAGTCTGAGCATTCACCCTCATCTCATGAATAAACACACCTCTCTTATAGTCTTCAGAAACAAGAATCATCGGAGGCGTTCTATAATGAAGTAATATTACAATTTTCTCGGAAATTAAGAGAAAAAAAAGGAAAAACATATAATTTCTTCTTTCCCTCTACTTCTTCTTCCCTGTTTTTATATTTGCCAATAAACAGAACAACCCTAAGCAAGTCACCAGCAACGATTTTCAAGTACTGGGAGGCTAGGCTATTACGCATAGTTTGGGACAGAGGAAAAGGTTTGTTATTTAAATGTGTGACTCCAGTTTGCAGTTCCTGTTAATGGTTTGAGTTTAAGTATAGCATCCGCCTACTCTTCTAATAACCATTATACAACAGATGAACGAATATGCAGTAAAAAGATTTAGAATGCTGAAGTAGCCAATTATATTCTGTGCACGGTAAAAGCACTGAACTGAGCACAGGCAGAATTTGACAAGTGTAGACAATATACATTACAATTTTCTCGAAAATTAAGCTTTGCAAAGCTAAGATTTACAACCACCAAGCCTGGATCCAAAACCAGTGGGATCAGCTATATGGGATCCTTTTGCGCGATTCCTTGCGATCATATACATGAAGAGCTAAGATTTCTGACAAAAAAAATTACCAGCAGGTGTTTGATATGCTGCATCTGTGTTGTCCTGAGTTTTTTGAAACGTCATAATGTTCTGTTGGCTTCAGTCATTGACCATGCCTTGCCTCTAATCATTTCTTCCACTGAGGTATCCTCTGAACCACAACCTGATAAAATCACAGGGATAGAAAAGAAGTCCATTAAAGCAGTAATATTCAGGATCTTCCCCAACAAAATTGTCCTAAAGACCAAATGTTCCTGTTATCCTATCTGAAAGTATAATTGCGTGTCTTTAAATGTCTTGGAAGGCATTACTAAGGGAATGCCTTTTAAAGAATGTTCTAAGACAGTGAAAGAAGTTTTGTTTATATCACAGAAGGAAAGTGCGGTAGTTCAGAATATTGTACAGGACGGATGCGGTTAATTTTTTTTCTAAAATGTCACAGAATAGTATTGCAACATCACAGAAAGTTTTGGATGAAGTTACACAAAAATGTGACGAATGCATGATAATTACACTGCCTTGCAAGGCATTGCAGAAAGCACTGTGTTTTTAGACGTTCTTTATGCAACTCTCAGAGCATCATGTGCTGAAAAATCTATGAAGCAGGTATTTTGGGAACTCCTATATCCTGAGTTTTCAAAATTCAGTAGATAACATTACCTTGCCAGAGATTTCTTTATTTTCAACAATTGTTTGACAAGCAAGTCTTCAGGATTCAGGTTCCTGAGCAATTTAGAGAGTGAAAAGATGAACTGTAAAAGAAATACAATGGCATCAATGAAAAAAAAAAAAGGAAAGATAAAGATCACCATTTTATACTGTTAAGAGAAGTGCAAGCACAGCTCTTAAAGGAAGGAGCAAGGTAAGGGCATCACTTTCACATAGAGCAGGTTAGACAGCATAAGAGATCACAACTTGCATTTCTTGGGGCATCAGAGGGGGGGGAGAGGGAGAGTACCTTCTTCAGACACCGAATTTCGGTATCTGTTCTTTCATTCAAAATATCCTTTACATTAAGAATCCGCATGAGAAGAACAAGGAGGATGCACAGAACTTGAGGAGATTAAGATTAAAAACACGCAAATATGTAAGTTTCACTGATGAATCAGGAGAAAATACAGAAAATAATCAGGTTCCGGCTTCGGCTGCACCACCACAATTATCAAAACCAAAAGAAAATAATCATGAGAGAAATATTTAACAGTCTTCAATCTCTGATGGTTAAACATTTAAAACAACTGCTAGTAATTCGCCAGCACAGGATATTCATACCCCAATAAATTCCAGATCAATTTCAGGATTTTGCTCAGGAACAGTCCCTGAAGACTCCATTGAACTAACAGTCCCTGAAGACTCCCTTGAACTGCTGCTGCAGCAGCAGAGAGTGAAGCAAGTCTCTTCCTTGGAACAACCTTAACACTAACACAATCCCATATCCTGGCCCATTGCGATGAGATAAATCTGGCATCCTGGGTAATATCCCACCAAAATTAACGGAAGCCATTTCTTCATTTCTCCATCTCTCTCTCACTCTCTTCTTTCCTTGAAATATTTTTGATTTCTCACTATTTTCCTCTCCATTTAACAAAACACAGAACTTTCTCAATCTCTCTTTAAAGGGTAGTTTCGTAATCTAGTGTACTGATTATCTTGTGCTCTATATTTTGCCGCCTGAAAGACATCATCAGTTGTTAGGGCACTGATTAACTAACAGTTGTTAGTCTCTCATTAACTTCCGCTAAAACACAGGTCTACCTGTGTCTTTCTAACCACCAGAAAACCACCGCATAACCGCCACTTCTCCGGCTCGTCCTCTGCCAATCATGGATTTCCGTACAAGGAAACCCTCTAATCAAGTGGCCTCACCCCAAGAACGCCAACAAAACTCCTCCCCAACTTCTCTGCAAAACCCCAATTACCATCCAGATGATTTCTTTACCCTCTGCAACATCATCAAAGACCCCAAGATCCAGCCCGGTCGTCCCTACAAACCGTACCGGACCGGACCGGAATTGAGCCTGAACTGGGTCTTATACCGGCAGTATTTGACCATTTTAGTCCGTCATCAAAGTTGTTGCACTGTTTAATTCAATGGAGAATTTGCTTGGCGAGGAAAGAGAATTTGATTCTGCCTGTTGTTTACTGTTTGGTAAGATTAGTGGAAATTGAAGAGGGGATTTGGTTTCTAGTGACACTAATGCGATTTTGATTAGAAGGTATACCAGAGCAGGTAATAGGGAACTTCTTGTTTAGTGTTGAAATGGAAAAACTTTATTGGGTTTTGTATTTACATTACAATTTTCTTAAGTACACTATCTTAGACAATTGCATTGGATTCTAAAGCCTTTTGTACCGTTAGATTTTTGCCTTTTGAATTGAAAATTCGAACTTGGTTTCCATTTGATAGTTTGAAGTTGCTTGAACATGATGATATCGACTTTGAATGTCGAAATGTGGATTCAATTTGGAGCCAGCTTGTTGTTTGGTGAAAAAATTTGATTATATGGTTGCTTAATAAAATCTTTGTGTAATCGTACCTGGTCCAAGCTTCACTCTATCACTTATTAATATCTTTGTAATTGGAGTTGGTCCAAGCTTTACTTCTTAATTGAAATATAAATTATTGGGGTATTTGAGTTTTGCATGGAATTTGAATTTACAGGTGAGATTTTATGATTGTGAGAGTTTGTGGCTTGTTTTGATTAGCAGTTATATATATATATATATATATATATATTTTTGTTTTTGTATTTTAAAAGAATTTTTTTCATTTTTTGTTTGTTTTTAGATATAAAAACTAAAATTTTAAAAATAAAAAAATTATTTTAATATATTTTTAAGAAAAAACAATTTAAACAATGGAATTTTTGATCACTAAAAGGTGCTGCATTTGTGCAGGAATGTCAGTAGCTGCAATTCGAACATTTAAATATGCGAGCAGTTCAGACTTGATTTGTAATTCTGATGCTGGAATGAGCTTGTTTGATATTGTTGGATTCCCCCTGTGAGGAAGGGCATGTTAGGGGACTACGTTACGGAGTATTTTGACAGGAAAGTGCAAAAGGATACGTGTTGGTCTCCATCAGTTAGGATATATAATACACTGTTAAATGGATGGTCTCGGTCAAGAAAGCTCAAGCATGCAGAGACTTTGGTTGGAAACGAAGAAAAAGAATGTGAAACAGAGCATTGTAACAGATGATACACTGGTTGGAGGATATTGCCGGATGCGTCGTGTTGAGAAGGCTATTGAATTGGTTGATGAAATGAAGAGAGAAGGGATTAAATCAAATGCCATTGCATACAATCCCATTATTGATGCATTAGCAGAAGCTGGTAGGTTTAAGGAAGTCTTGGGGATGATGGAGCACTTTTTTCTGTGTGGGACAGGCCCCTCTATCTCCACCTACAATTCTTATGTAAGGGTTTACTGGAAGGCTGGAGACCTTGCTGGACTAGCAAGATCCTTACGATGATGATTAGTTGGGAAGTTTTCCCAACCCCAATGGCATGTAATTATTTCCTTAGGCATTTTTCAATGTAGGAGTGGATGAACCTATATACCAAGATGATTGAATCTGGGTACACCTCAGATCGACTCACTTACCATCTTTTGTTGAAGATGTGTGAGGAGGAGAGACTGGCCTTGGCTGTTGAGATTAGCAAGGAAATGAGAGCTAGGGGATGTGATAGTCCTTTCGTTTGTCAAATGCATAGATTTGAAGATGCATTTGCAGGATTTGAGGACATGTTAGGGAGAGGTATAGTTCCTCGGTACCTTACTTTCCAAGGATTGAATGATGAGTTCGGGAAACAGGGAATGATTGAGCTGGCATGGAGACTGGGTAATCTGATGTCTTTTGTTTCGCATTCAAGAAATTTGCCAAATAAATATAACGTTCATAGGGATGCATCACTGCGAGCAGAACATCTATATTGCAGAAGACATGAGCAATGTCTGAAGTACGAAGACTTGTAATAATCCTAGTGAACTTGTTAAGCACAGAAGTTCATCTCGGAATCCTGTATCAAGTGCAAATCGGTTGAGCCCTTCAAAGACATGAAATCCCATCCCCTAGACGGTAATATCCCTTCAAAGGCAGGTGAAATCAAAGAACCTCACAATCAGTGTGGGAAAACTTTTCATTATGTGTTTATTGAAGTATCCCATTTCTAAAATTGAATTGCTTATTACATAATGAAGCGGCATCGACGTCTTTTGCGAATACAAAAGCCTCAGAATCCAACTGTGGCGAATGTAGAGAATGAGAGAATGAAAGGGAGGGAGCTGATTGCTAATGAATAGTGTTCAGGGACCGAGAACAGCATATTTAAAGATTTCAAATAGTTTTTTTGCGCTGCACCTTTCCGCAGTTAATGTTGAAGTTCCGGCAGGTAAATTGTGATCGACTGTTGTTACCAGTTGAAACAGACTTAACGGTGCATCTTGCTGGGTAAAATGTTATCCTTTATCGACGGAGGAGCTAGTGTGGCATCACCTTTTACATGAATTCTTGCGGTAAGAAAGTTTTAAAGGTGATGCACGCATCACTGGAGATCCTCAATTATGTTCATGGTAGATGGTCGCAAGCTGAGAGAGATTTTGGAGTGTGCATTACGCTTATGGAGTGGGAATCTAATACAATTATGGGCTTGAGTCTCGACAGAATGGACGGTCCATTTAGGAATATTTGAAGGGTGCAAGAAAGACCAAACGAGAGAGAGACACACAGTTTAAGGTGTCCCTTCATGTCAAGATGTGACTGGTTATTCCTCTAATTATTAGTTAGATTTGAAAAGAAAGCTTGCTTTGAAAATGTGTAAATTAATGATACTATGGTGTAAAAAAGGAGAGGGATGCTTTCTTGGAATTGTTTATAGATCCCCCATGGAAATATTTTATCATAGTGGTATCTAAGATGCTCATAAGAGATCAAACCTCTTTAAGTTAGTGGAATGAAAGTTATTTTATTTTTGTCATACTGGTGGTGGAATTCTTGGTCGAGATTCATGCATTAGTCAAGACAAAATTTCTTTAAAATTATATTTTAAACAAGTAATCTCTCTTCTTTTATTTTTATGTTTTATTTATTTATTTTTGTTTTTTGATTAATATGGGTGTCCGGGCCAGCTTGCGCGCACCACGACTAATCTCACGGCTCACTAAACATCTTGCAAGCCAAGTAATCTCCCTTCTTTTATTTATAACATAGGTAGGTGTTAAGGATGTGTTGGTTATAATAACGTTGATAGTTTAAAATATTTTTTATTTAAAAATTTATTAAAATAAAATTTAATATTTTTTAAAAATTATTTTTGATATTAACATATTAAAATGTTCTGAAAATATAAAAATATTATATTTTAAATAAAAAAATATTTTTTTAAAAAAAATAAGTTTCCAAATATATCTTAAATCTTAATTTAAAACTAGATTTAAAGTTTTATTTTTGATATTAACTCTGCCAAACTTGGATAATATTCTAGTGGGTTGACTTATAATTTAGTTAATTTTAATAAATTTAAATAAGATATAATAAATTAATTTGACTCAATGATAATATAAGTAGGTCTTATACCAAATTAGACATTGTTAGTAAATTTAACAATTATGGTTTGTTATTGATTATGTAGCTTAGGGCATGGGATAGATTATTAGTTTGCGGATTCTTATCAACTTCGGTAGGATTTATTAAAATCATCATTGGAATTGGATTTTTATTTAGAGTTTGACTGGGAATAGTTGTTTTTTAAATTATTTTTTGTTTTGAATATATATATATATATATAAATTTATTTTTGATATTATTACATCAAAACAATAAAAAAACATAAAAAATTAATTTAAATTAATTTAAAGATTTTTTTCCTTCAAAAAAACATGATTGGACCATTTAATTACTTCTAAATTGATTAGAGAATGCTCTCTCATGGTTTACACATCTTGAATATTTTGTAGAAATTCAATATTTCAAAGTAATGAAAAATAAGGACAACTAATGATGACCTTGTTAAGTTACTTTATTTTGGTATGATTAATGTTTTATGATTTTTTCCAATAATGTAATGATAATAATAAATATCTGTGTGATGTTGTGGGCTCCTACACACATTCAAATATATAATAATAGATTCATCATTGTCCACTTTGTACGTGGTACAAACGCTAACGTAATGATATTAATAAATTTGGTTTTTTTCCCAGAATTTTGAACCGGTTTTATTTTATACTTTCAAAAATATAGCACGTCTACTTTAATTCATGCGCTAGATTTTGATTTGATGAGATTTTAGATTATAATAATTTTTTTATTTGGTTTAATTTTTTTTAGTTTTGG